ATCCTTCTCATCAGTCCTCCTCCTCCCCAGTCCTCTCCCAGTCCCCCTCCTTCTCCTCCTCCTATTCAGTCCTCCTCCTCAGTTCTCCTCAGTCCTCCTTCTCATTTCTCCTAAGTCCTCCTCCTGAGTCCTCCTCTTGAGTCCTCCTCCTCTTCCTTCTGAGTCCTCCTCCTCCTCCTGAGTCCTCCTCCTCCTCCTCCTCTTCCCTCTCAGTCATCCTCCTCAGCCATCCTCCTCAGTCCTCCTCAGTCCTCCTCCTCAGTCCTCCTCCTCCTGGGTCCTCCTCCTCCTCTTCATCCTCCTCCTCTTCCTCCTCGGTCCTCAGTCCTCCTCCTCCTGGGTCCTCCTCCTCATCCTTCTCATCAGTCCTCCTCCTCCCCAGTCCTCTCCCAGTCCCCCTCCTTCTCCTCCTCCTATTCAGTCCTCCTCCTCAGTTCTCCTCAGTCCTCCTTCTCATTTCTCCTAAGTCCTCCTCCTGAGTCCTCCTCTTGAGTCCTCCTCCTCTTCCTTCTGAGTCCTCCTCCTCCTCCCTCTCAGTCATCCTCCTCAGTCATCCTCCTCAGCCATCCTCCCCAGCCATTCTCCTCAGCCATCCTCCTCAGTACTCCTCAGTCCTCCTCCTTCTCAGTCATCGTCAGTCCTCCTCCTCAGTCCTCCTCAGTCCTCCTCCTCCTCCTGGGTCCTCCTCCTCCTCCTCCTCCTGGGTCCTCCTGGGTCTTCCTGATCCTCCCCAGTCCTCTTCCTCCTCCCCTCCTCAGTCCTCCTCCTACTCCTCCTCCTCGTCCTCATGCCTCCTCATCAGTCCTCAACAGTTCTCCTCCTCCCCAGTCCTCCTCCTCCTCCTGGGGCCTTTTCCTGGGTCCTCCTCCTGGGTCCTCCTCCTCCTGGGTCCTCCTCCTCCTGGGTCCTCCTTCTCCTCCTCAGTCCTTCTCCTCCTCCTCCTCAGTCCTCTTCCTCCTCTTCCTCCTCCTCCTCCCTCTCAGTCATCCTCCTCAGCCATCCTCCTCAGCCATCCTCCTCAGCCATCCTCCTCAGTCCTCCTCCTTCTTAGTCCTCCTCAGTCCTCCTCCTGAGTCCTCCTCCTCCTGGGTCCTCCTCCTCCTGGGTCCTCCTCCTCCTGGGTCCTCCTCCTCCTCTTCAGTCCTTCTCCTCATCCTCCTCAGTCCTCTTCCTCCTCCTCCTCCCTCTCAGTCATCCTCCTCAGCCATCCTCCTCAGCCATCCTCCTCAGCCATCCTCCTTAGTCCTCCTCCTTCTTAGTCCTCCTCAGTCCTCCTGAGTCCTCCTCCTCCTGAGTCATCCTCCTCAGTTCTCCTCCTCCTCCTAGGTCCTCCTTCTGGGTGCTCCTCCTAGGTCTTCCTGGTCCTTCTCCTCCCTCTCAGTCATCCTCCTCAGTCATCCTCCTCAGCCATCCTCCTCAGCCATCCTCCTCAGCCATCCTTCTCAGCCATCCTCCTCAGTACTCTTCAGTACTCTTCAGTCCTCAAAATTTTTGTCCGCTAATGTCCACCAATGTCTGCTAATGTCCATCAATGTCCATCCAAGTCCGCCAATGTCCGTCCGGGTCCGCCAATGTCCGTCCGAGTCCGCCAATGTCCGTCCGAGTCCGCCAATGTCCGTCCGAGTCCGCCAATGTCCGTCCGAGTCCGCCAATGTCCGTCCGTGTCCGCCTATGTCCCAAAAAACACGTCCGTTGTCTCATAGAATCCAAAAAGGACAGGACATAGGCGGACATAGACGGACATGACACCCCCCCCCCCAATATCCCTACATGAGGATAACACATATTCGACAAGGAAGCCCTGCCTACTAATCTGTCAGGGAGACCCACCTGACAACCACAATGAACTGTTTGGCGCCATCTTTTCATTCCGAAGTCGCCTCTACGACGTTCAGAAGCAAAAAGTCAGTTGTGTCATTGAGTGACCAATATGGGCGTGGCGCTCCTGGGTGTTGCCCATGGTAAAAAAATTGTCTTCAACCAGAAATCAGTCATTTATACCATAAGGAAGGTCTGTGCAAAGTTTCAGGAGTATCTAGATATTTGCAGGTACCAAACCAAATATGTCCATAAATGACTGGACATATATTACGTATTAGGTGTTTGATTATTACTCGATTTATCACAATGCCGCACAGTTTTTAATGATTGTTGTTAAATAAATCTGGACAAAGAGACGCCTTAAAAATGTTACAGGGTGGCCCAGAAGTAACTGCCCACACGCAACCCTTTAATAACTCACGTAATTTAATTCTTCTTAGAATTGCGCAAATTTCAGAGATTATAGATATGGGTCAAACTTATATTTCCTAAAAGTTTCGTAAAATTTAATTAATTACAGTGGGTGTGGCTCGCCAATCCCTCTTTTTCGCTTTTGTCACCATAAAGTGAGAACGCTTTCAGCTAGAAACTTCAAAGTTTCTAGAAAACTTTTAAACAAATTTCAAGTTGGTTGTTCACAATTTAACTGAGTTATGACCCTTTTAAGATCTTGCAGATACGTGAGCCAGCACTTAATCAGTGATATCTTCACTCAATCAATGCCCTGATTGGTTGGAGACTGCTTAACGTCACTATCAGTATTCACTCAAAGTGATCAGATCGTCATCCACCGACATGCTTGTTACCGCCTAATGAGGCTCATTGTTGCTCGCTAGCAAATAGCTCCCGATGAGATTACTGATTGGGTGACGAAATCAATGATTAAGTGCCGAGATCACGTATCTGCAATATCTTAAAAGGGTCATAACTTGGTTAAATTGTGGACAACCAACTTGAACTTTTGGGAAAGCACTTCAATTATCAAACCAAATATGTCTAGAAACTTTGAAGTTCCTAGCTGAAATCTTTCTCACTTTGTGGTGACAATAGCGAAAAAGAGGGATTGGCGTGCCACACCCACTGTAATTAATTAAATTTGACGAAACTTTCAGGAAATCTAAGTTTGACCTATATCTTTAACCTCTGACATTTCTGTGCAATTCTAAGAAGAATTACGTGAGTTATTGAAGGATTGCATGTGGGCAGTTACTTCTGGGCCACCCTGTATTTACAATAATCATAGTTCAAAATATAAAAGCGTACAAAAACCACAAATATGACGTACGGAAATGGTGAGTGGGGAACATCCCTGGCGACTCTATAGTCTATAATTGTTGAAATTAGGTCTCTTATTACTATTAGAAATATAAATTTAATAGGTTTTGAAAGAAAATTCAGATAGTATTTTAAAAAGATTTAAAAATTCAGATAGGATTTTAAAAAGATTTTAAATCTGTTCGTTGAAAATTCTGCCATAATTGAAATTGATTCAATATATAATTATAATATATCTGTATTGTTGCTGACACGTTAGCCATTTCAATATTTACTGTTGACAAATAAAAACCCAGAGTCACTGTCATGTATAATATAATATTTTGACAGATTTGATGGAATTTTTGCTGGAAGTTAACTGAGGATGGTAATTGAGGATGGTAGTTATGCGACCAAAAATCGTACTGTCCTTTTATTTTCTCTGTCCCATTTTAAGTTTTTGAAGATAAAATTTCCAGGACAGAAATTTCTTGTTTTATTGAAGTTTTCACCCGCAAACAGTTAGTTAGTATTTTTGATTTTTCATTTTGAAAATACTGCGAAGCTTATGCTCTTACACACTCTTGCTTTTTTTCATACTTAATGCTCATGACCCATATGCAAGGATCGACCAGGACCGCTTTTTTGGCCGGATCGGGACTCGAAAAAAAGTGCCGGGACCGGGATTAAACCTAGACCGGGAATAAGACCGGGACCAGGAATAAGACTGAGACCGGGAATAAGACCGGGATTAAGCCGGGATTGGGACCAGGATCGTAGCTAACATAAATTTTACTTTCAATATTCTTTGATCTTATAATGTATAATCAATAATGGTGTTAGGTGCAGTATTTATACAATGTGCTATGTCAGCAAGTTGGTTGATCAGTGCATCGGATTTTTAGAATATTCTAAATGTAATAATATAGCTTAAAACATACTTATCGTATTTGGTTATTCGAATCTGTTGGAGTCCGATTAGCTGTCGCGTTGTGTTTTATCAGAGCGACTCTTTGCCTACAAGGCAATCTCAAGCCACCAAAGAGTTCCTGATCTCCAAGTCTAAGAGAGAGGTGGGCTTCCGACAAAGAAAGAGTACAAGAATCAGTGCAGACAGTGATATCGAGAAGGGAAGAAACAGTGATACTAACGACTCAGTCAGAGAGATTGACGATGATACAGCGACTTGGAACCAACTGACCAACTCCTAAGCAGTACTTCAGACAGGGCCCGGATCGACGGATCTCTGAACAATGTGGTAAGGGACGAGGTTACCAGATATTTAAAGGACACTCTGTACCCTGTATCTGAATCAGCTTGTCTGGATCTATATGTGTCCACCTCCTTTCTCAGTCGCAAGTGAAAGGGCTCTCAAGGTGGCGATAAACATTGTAGTGGATACTGGATAGCAGACTGAGCCTCCTGCCGGAAAACGTAGAAATCAACTTGATCATCAAATACAACTGAAGAGTGAAGAGCCATTAATTACGAAATATATATCAGCTCAAGTTCCCTCCTGATTGGTTATTGGTTATAAATCAAGAGGCTTGCATATATTGAACATATTGACACGGGTGCAGAGTTGAGTCTGTACGGAACCTAGTAGTTTCAGATCCTTGTTTAACTTGCCGTACAGCAAGGTCATCCACTACTTTAGCCCGGCGAGGCACATAACTCATATTACCTTACCCCGAACAATCTGAACAAAGACGACTCGGACGACGAGAGTATGGTTAAGGAGTCTAATGAAGAGGCAGTTAGATTAACTGACAAATCAGATGATAAGGACATTGTGTAGGGAAGCATGTGTTAATTTACTGACTTATTTTTCCATGTTATAATTTGTGGGAATGATTATCTGTATTCGGTCCCTGCAATTAAAACCCCTTAAATCAATCCCTTAAATACAAACATATTATAGTAAAAGATATCAACCTATTAAATTATTAGGTTAGATGCTGTAGTGGAGAGTGGAACCAGTCATGGCTGCCAACGAGGTAATACTTTTGTTTTAGCATTTATTAAACTAAATTTCAACAATAAACCACATGTGACATTGACTTTTGTATTAAAATATATACATGAAGGGCAAAATTTGATATCAATCGTCATTTTTGCCCTATTGCGAGTAACTTACATCTTTCTGGACATGTCTGGCCCAAAACAGTTAAATAAGCTGAATAGTTCCTTGCACAGTAATAACCACAACACTCTAGTCCTATCAGTGGCTGTGGGTATGAACCACCCAATAGCGTACTAGCATACAACCCCTGCACTTTACTAAATGACCACAATGTACTGTTCTGTACACTGAGCTATATAGTATATATCACTCTAGGAAATGGTCGGTACATGAGAAGTACATACTGTGAATTAATGTACACTGTACACTGTACACTATACCTAAAACAGTGCATTACATGATGTGTATTAGCCATTCTTGTCTTGTACGCCTGGTCACAACCAATTTTATTGGGAATCAACTTTAAAACAGAGATCCTAATAGGGGGATATTTATCACCAGTCTCAGGAAATGTAAGAGAATTGTATTGTTGATAAGGTTTTAAACCTCAACATTCAAATAAACGTCAGGAAATGTAAGAGAATCGTATTGTTGATAAAGTTTCAAACCTCAACATTCAAATAAACGTTAGATAGGAGAAGTTGACCAATCATGATGGGTTTAGAATTAATGATTGCTATATTATTTTGAAATTCTAGAGTCAAGACCTCTCCATACTAGTAAAATAATGATAAGAACTTAATGATATAATTAATTACAGCCGACCGCGACCGGAGAAGTGACGACTTCGCCTAAGAAAGTGTTCATACAGCGGGACTATACTCACGGCACTGAGTGTAAATACGAGACTAACTTCCCCGCCCAGCTGGAAGGAGTGGTTAGTGTTACCATGTGTTACCATGTGTTACCATGTGTTACCATGTGTTATTGTGTGTAACCATGTGTTAACATTGCATGCGTTACCATGTGTTATTGTGTGTAACCATGTGTTACCATGTGTTACCATGTGTTATTGTGTGTAACCATGTGCTACCATGTGTTTTTATGTGTTATTGTGTGTTACCATGTGTTACCATTTGTTACCATGTGTTACCATGTGTTATTGTGTGTAACCATGTGTTACCATGTGTTACTATGTGTTATTGTGTGTAACCATGTGTTACCATGTGTTACCATTTGTTACCATGTGTTACCATGTGTGATGTGTTACCATTTGTTACCATGTGTTACCATGTGTTACCATTTGTGTGGTTACGGTATTGTTGTTACAATTTTTGTTCTCCGAGCTATGACTCTAAACTAGAGCCTGGTAACCATGCTAACCAATAGTTTATTCCAGATAGCACGTGAAACGTTGACAGATACAGTAAACAAGATAAACGAACTGTTGGAGAGGTCAGAGGAGCTAGGATGTCCCACATACACTGAGGGCTGCTTATCTTGCCTCACCGGCTACTTACTGTACTTCTGTATTGACACTAAATACAGCAAGGTAATTATAATAGCTTACTTAAATAACAATTGTGTAATAAATGATTAATGTTATTATTTTAAGGTGTTAATATTGTTTCTCAACTAATGAATTATTTCCTAAAATGTTGTACACAGAAATACAACGTTCATAGTTTTAACCAACTAATTTCATAAGGGTCCATGCCTGTAATAAAGAATGACACACATAACCCAACTTCAGGAAATGAAGCAGATATCCCTGTTTATCCAACGTCAGAATGATGAGATATACCACCCACGCGGAGTGCACATTGTTGAGCCGATGTTGCGCGGTCTCCGCTGTATCGAACTTGTTGTGTACCCACCACCTACTAAACCTGTGTAGATATGTTGTGAACCAATAGTCAGCAAGGAAACTGTAATACGGAATACCTACAGTCACTATTGTGGTATAGTTAGCAAGGATCACTGTTAAACTGAGGTTTAGTTAGCAAGGATCACTGTTAAACTGAGGTTTAGTTAGCAGGGATCACTGTTAAACTGAGGTTTAGTTAGCAAGGCTCACAGTTAAACAGTTAAACTGAGGTTTAGTTAGCAAGGATCACAGTTAAACTGAGGTTTAGTTAGCAAGGATCACAGTTAAACTGAGGTTTAGTTAGCAAGGATCACTGTTAAACTGAGGTTTAGTTAGCAAGGATCACTGTTAAACTGAGGTTTAGTTAGCAAGGATCACTGTTAAACTGAGGTTTAGTTAGCAAGGATCACAGTTAAACTGAGGTTTAGTTAGCAGGGATCACTGTTAAACTGAGGTTTAGTTAGCAAGGATCACAGTTAAACTGAGGTTTAGTTAGCAAGGATCACTGTTAAACTGAGGTTTAGTTAGCAGGGATCACTGTTAAACTAAGGTTTAGTTAGCAGGGATCACTGTTAAACTGAGGTTTAGTTAGCAAGGATTACAGTTGTTTACTTACAGAAAGTAGGGACTAATTTGTGATCTTGTGACTGTGAAATATTTTGATTTGAAAAATTTGGAAGGAATTTCTTTTAGCAAATTTGCTACGGAGTGCTTAGAATCTTTATTTTGTGACATTCCGTCTTTCTAAGTTCTACCTTCCTTGCACTAATTTATAACAAAGAATAGTATATTAAATTTGATTTGACTTATATGTTTGCGAGTGATAGCTTTGCTTTATAAAGCCATTGCCACTTTGTTAATTAAGGGGGGGGGTCAATGGGTATTTTTTTGTGAAACTTGATTTCGAGATAGTAGTTGACCAACAAACTAGGACCAGTGACCGAACTTTTGAGGGGGTCCCGGACCCCAACCGCCAAACGGTGCGCGCAGGGCAGCCACGCCCATATTTGGTCCAAATTAGGCCCAATTTAGCCAAATACCCTGAACATGCCCAAAACCCAGGTTTATGGTGCTCTACTTGTAGCTAGTGGTCTCCTGAACTCGTATATGAAATTTCATCAAGATTGGACAAAAAATGACTGAGTTATGAGCCAAAAACCATATGCCCATATTTGGGCATACGCACCAAATTTGGTAGATTTCGTCCCATAAATTGGTCAAATATCAATATTTTTGGATGAGACTTACTTTATATGAAAGGTAAGCCTAAACTACATATTCTCTGTAAGTTATAGCTTTATATCTGTTTAAATGTGGATACTAAGGCGAAAAAACCACAAAAAATGAACTAAATTGCCCATATCTCGGTTCGCGATATTCGCGGAATTGATCTCACCAAAATTGTAACAACTCAATCAGTTTTCAAAATTTTTGCATGAAATTTTTGAAATCGACTCGAAATCGCATTTCGACCTTATTTTAAGAACGGATTTTTGATTTAGGCCTCAAAAAAAATTTGGCGGCCAAATTCTGAATTTCTGTAATATAATTTTGGAATTTGGCCGCCAAATTTTTTTTGAGGCCTAAATCAAAAATCCGTTCTTAAAATAAGGTCGAAATGCGATTTCGAGTCGATTCCAAAAATTTCATGCAAAAATTTTGAAAACTGATTGAGTTGTTACAATTTTGGTGAGATCAATTCCGCGAATATCGCGAACCGAGATATGGGCAATTTAGTTCATTTTTTGTGGTTTTTTCGCCTTAGTATCCACATTTAAACAGATATAAAGCTATAAATTACAGAGAATATGTAGTTTAGGCTTACCTTTCATATAAAGTAAGTTTCATTCAAAAATATTGATATTTGACCAATTTATGGGACGAAATCTACCAAATTTGGTGCGTATGCCCAAATATGGGCATATGGTTTTTGGCTCATAACTCAGTCATTTTTTGTCCAATCTTGATGAAATTTCATATACGAGTTCAGGAGACCACTAGCTACAAGTAGAGCACCATAAACCTGGGTTTGGGGCATGTACAGGGTATTTGGCTAAATTGGGCCTAATTTGGACCAAATATGGGCGTGGCTGCCCTACGCGCACCGTTTGGCGGTTGGGGTCCGGGACCCCCTCAAAAGTTCGGTCACTGGTCCTAGTTTGTTGGTCAACTGCTATCTCGAAATCAAGTTTCACAAAAAAATACCCATTGGCCCCCCCCCTTAAGAACTTTAATTAAGATTTTGAGCTGCTATGTAGAAAATCAGGGTTCATGTTTTGATCAGCAAGCAATAAGCATTCATTGAGCTGATTTCTGATGCATGTGTTATAAATTTGGATAATTAATGTCATCAAAATTATTAGCATAATTAATATCTGAGATGTTAGATATTATAATACTTGTAAGTACTTTCCATAAACCTCGGCTGCCTTTGCTTGCCCTATTTTCTATTTAAGAGTTTTGTACATGTAAAATATGTATTTAAACGACCTATTGAACTGTAAAATATTTGTTTCAACTTTCTCTAAAAAATTAGAATTAAGTATTAATGCTCGTCTGTAACCACCTATTTTCGCTTTTCTATGGCACCATCAGTATGTTTTGTTGTTGATAAACTGTGTATATTGCAGATATATAATTACTTGGGTACTTTTTCAAATGTATTTAGGTTCCTAATTAATGATAGGTGGTAACACTTAATTAGTTTTAAACTTATTGGTTGTGTAGAGTAGAAGTTATAGATATATTGCTGCTATCTGGAACCAGTGTAAACCTATTTTCTTTCTTTTGATTGATATTGTGCCAAATTTCCATTTTGAACATGATGCGTTTTTTATTTCGTGTACACTGTACAGTAGGTTATAAACAACTAAAATATAAATTAAGATTGCTAGATAATTACTAAAAGCTCTGCTGAAGATGTTTGCAAATATTATTGACTGATTCTTTATTGGCTTTAACCAAAGTCTGATTGCTATCAGTTCTAACACAACAAGCTATTCAATCTGCTTTTCTTTGATTCTCTCAAGCTTTAGAAATGTTTGAAGCATGATTTTGTGGTATACGAAGCATGTTTAGATACTCAGATGTGTATGTTTTTGCTATCAGAAAGGTAATAAATATGAATTTTATGTCACTGCAATTCACTTTTGGTACTTGCTAATGTAATTCTTATTTAATGTTTTCTACTACACAATAACGACCCATCTTTTGATTTATAATTAATGCTACTTTTTCAATCTGACCTTGCATTTACAGCATATTCAAACTGCATTGTTGTTGAATGTAAACCAAAAAGCACGTTATCTTTCAGAAAAGGAAATATTCACCTTACACGTGATTATCAGAATGGGTGTCTAATCGCCTCATAAGTCATAATGCATCAACCTGACTGCGAACTCAACAATTTAACCTTTCCGCTCCCGTTTTAAGTAGGTGAGTTCCCTCCTTACAACTTCCTGCTTTTATAATTAGCCACCCTTACTGAACGTACAATCAAGACCAATTATACGTGCTGATCGCTTATTAAGGCAAATTTTCACCACCAATCGGCTACATTAATTGTCCGGACGAAATTCTTTATTCACACAGGGGCGGTCACAGTTCAAAATACTCATTTGTAACGCGCGCTTTTATATTCCATATCTTTATCGCGCTACTGAATCACGTACGTATATATTTATTAATTAATTATATTATATTATACTAGAAAGCCCGTGCATGGTAACAGGGACGAAGCTAGTAATATTCTTTGAAATAAAGTTTTAATCGCATCAAAAAATATTCATCTCAACCGAAGATACAGCCGATTTAAATATAAAACACTTTAAACACAACGTAATTACCACAAAACCGATCAAAATGACGTTAAAACAATCTTTGCACGTGCATGTGTGCATTAAAACGCCGTTGCTATGGAACCTTTTGGTTGTTACCTAAATTCCTATTTTTCATCTAATTTGCACGTGGGCGGTCGTACAGTGTACAAAAACAATTCTCTGAATTATATAGTAGAGACTAGAAAGCCCGTGGTAACAGGGACGAAGCTAATAGTATTTTACTGGGCCGCGCTCAGCCTGTCATTCCGCCTAATCTCTATTCTATGTTGTTAATCAACATTAAGGGGTCGTTTCACTCTGATAGTGATAAAATTTAGAAATTGATCGAATATCCGGCTATAATAGTACTACTTACTTGGGGTTGCTTCATAGATCCTCTATCGGGTCATCAGAACGGCTGACCACCCGTGCAGCGAAGTTGCTGTATTTTCTGCGCTCCAGTTCAATTAGTAGAGGCTCTTACGGGCAAAAAGACGTGTTTTCTGCTACGAGTTTAGAGACCTAACCGCTAATTGGACACAATAGTATGATGTCTAAGGATCGATAATATGTTAAGAAGTATAAATTTGGACTTATTAGTCACGTGCTATACCAATGCGCGTTTTAAACTTTGACAGTCTATTACTCTAAGGCAAATAGAGTAATTATATTCATATTTTGTCAGCAATAAGATCACATTATTTTCTATTTAGTGTGAAAGTATGAGCTAGAACGGACATAATCTCGCTGAGTTATAGCTGTTTGAAATTTATGATGAACGCGCGGGTGCCAATTGATAACAACTAAATGCTTTTGCGCGTAGTGCGCGTCGAAAATTTGGCAAAAACGCTTGCGGAGTGACAATATTCAAACTTCGATAAAGTATATGAAGTGGGTACTTCTCGGAAAGGAAAAATTTAGGCAAACACGATGTGACTATTTTTGGGTTGATTTAATACAACTGCAAAAAATTAATTCAAACTTCAAGCAAAAAAGTCAAAATTTTTACCACTTTTTTGGATTTTTACCTCAGAACAAATAGAGGGATTTGTTTTATTTTTATACAATCTTGTGCGGCTGTCTTTTAGCTATCTTTATGCAAGTTTTGCCGACATGCCAACAAAATTAACTTGCTCAAAATATCAAAAAACATGGTTTTTTTGGCCTATTTTTGGCCCAAAAATCGGTTTTTTTGCGATTTTACCCCAGAACAATCAGTCCAATCATCTTGAAACCACTTTCAATCGATTCTACGGTCAAAAATACGTCTAGTAAGGTGTATCTGGGGTCCCTAACGTATCGAGCAGACAATGCCCGTAAGAGCCTCTACTAAATAACGAATTTCCGTTCTGGCAACAATATCCAGTAACAGGAGGTTCGTCCGGAATAGATGTAACAAACTCCGTCAACAATGACTTGAAACGTAGGGGGTCCTCGATAAGGTGCAGGTTTGCGGGAATGATGTTCCACAATCGAGGCCCCATCACTACAAATGAGCTGTCAAAGATCGATTGATTCCTTTGGCTACTGGACGTTGACAAGCTAGGGACTACTGCTTTCTGGCCATAACGGAGTGTATCTGTAAACTGAACGTTGACATCATTAGGACACTTCTTGTGTAGGATCTTCCACATATGAATGATAGTGTAACGTTCTCTCCTCCGTTGAAGTGACATCAATTTTAAGGCCTTCAGTCTCTGCCAATAGTTCAGATGTTGCACACCATGTATTT